ACAAGAAATCAGAGAATTCTGAAATATAGCTACACATTGGAATCACTGGGAAACATTTTTATAAGTGGATGCTCTAGCCCCATCCATAAATTTTGCTTTAATGACCATTAAATCAAATGGATTATAGAGTGGGACCCAGGCATTGGTAATTTTTAAGTCTTCTGAGATGCTACTAACATGTAACTAGAATAGAGAAGCCCTGTTCTAATAGGTAGAATTTAGACCTCAATCAATGATTTTTAGCTAGGAGTACTGGAATTACCTAGGGAACTTTTCAACATACATAAACCTATACTTTGTTGGGCCTACTCATTAATGGGCTACACAAAAACTAAGTAATCCATTTGAGAAACAGAAGCTAAATGGAAAAGCCACCTCATTTGATCTGTTAAATTATATGGAAAGCATTGTCAAATGATAATTAATATGCGATGCTAAACTATCTCTAATTTATATTTATGGGTGTGCTAGTAAGTGTTCCAAAATTATGAGTCATAGAAATCTATTATCAGTCATAATGTCATATGCCACAGTAGTAACTAAGTTTCTATGTGAGCCATGTCTTTATCATAATGGACTCTAATCAGGTTTCTAACCATAGTCATTTTCAATCTTGGTCATTCACAGACAGCTGTTTTGACTTTTTCTCAAAGCATTTGCAATCAGCTACAGTCCAAAGTTGCTTCTTCTTCAAAAAGATTTATAAATAAGACTCTGACAAGTACTCTTGAATATAAGTTTCTGATAACTTTAAGATCATACCTCTGGACAGTCTAAGAACTTTTAGATTTTTAATAAACAGGCTGATACTTTCATGAAATTGCCAACCAAGATTAAGCAGGAAAAAAATCAATTTCATTGGACTAACTAATATTAATGAGGATAATATTTTTATGATTTTTTATTTGGAAATTTGCCGATTCTTTAAATGTTTTGTTTTCCACATTTAGGACTTTTTTCTCTTTTAAGTAATCTACAGCTTACAGCCATTTGGTAAAGTACACTTTTGTGAACAAAAATAGAAAAATTTATTTGTGCTTCTTAACCGACTGCCCCAGAAATGGGGAACTGTTCATGACTATTTATATGTTTATGGTAATACAGTTATTTGCACAAGTTCAGTAAGAATCTGCCCTTTCTATAACAGGACACATTTGAAAGAATTGGTTATATTACCAAGGCTTTGACTGGGATGTTACATTTGAGAATATACAACATTCTCAAATATAATATCCCAGGTACTGCAGGCAAATGAATCCACAGGTACTGGAGGCAAATTCTGAAGTCAGCGTTGCTTTTCTTTTACAGTCTCAAAAGGTTTTTTTTTTTTTAAGTTTAATGTGAGATTCCTTATAAAAACTACTAGCAAAGCAAACGTTAAAAAGAGCCTCCGTGGTTCATCACTACTCTTGCTGCACTTATTTGAAGAATCAGGCCAAGTTTGATGAGATTTAACTTACTTTGTAAACAAATTTGTCCTACTGGGAATTATCTTTGGTAAAAATAGAGACTCCTATAGAGAGAAAAAAGTATGTTGAAAAGAAAGACTATAGTGCACCTGTGATGAGATTGCAGCTCTGCTCATTAAGTTTTTATTATCCACCTGCAGACTGAACTGGACCGTGGATTCTTCTAGCTACTTCAATCCAATGCTCTCCCATGGAATTACTAAGAACAAGAGCTGCCCTGTTCCTGAAGCCCTGTAAGCCGGAGGTGGACAACTCAATGTAAATTTCAACAGATATCCCTCATGCCTGAGGTGTGAGCCACTTAGAGGCTTCACTGAAATGTTCGACACACCATGACCAGAGACCCTCAAACTGCAGACCAGGACAAGAGTGACAACTTCACACTGTGGACAGCTTTTTCAAAGATGTCAAAACAAGACTCCTCTTCATGATGAAACTTTCACCCCTCTTAATTTGTTCTTGCTTATGCCTGCCTCCCTCACTTGGCAGGATAATGCTGTCATAAGAAATTCACCCACCGCTCTGGTATTGTATTGCCCGGGGAGAGCTGCCCGAAACAATGCCTCACAAATAAAAGTCAATTAGATGTATAAGTAAATTAGTTGTAACTTTGCTTTATGATGCATGTTCACAGCCAGTGATGGCCAGTGGGGTCTCTCAGGCTGCATCTTTCTCACCCTGACCCACCTGCCTCTCGCTTTTACTTACAAGGACCCTTCTGATTTCAATGGGCCACCCCAGATTATCCAGAATAACCTCAAGATACTTAACTTCATTACCACTGCAAAGCCTTTTTACCAAGAAAGTTAGATGCACGTGTCAGGGGTTATAACGTGGACACTTTTAGGAGGCCATTGTTCTGCCTAACACAGGTAACCTTCTTTTTAAAAATGTATTTATTATACTTTATGTTCTGGGGTACATGTACAGATCATGCAGGTTTGTTACATAGGTATACACATGCCATGATGGTGGTTTGCTGCATCCATTGCCCTGTCATCTACATTAGGTATTTCTCCTAGTGCTATCCCTCCCCAATCCCACCACCTCCTGCTATTCCTCCCCCAGCTCCCCACCTACCAGGCCCCAGTGTGTGATGTTCCCCTCCCTGTATCCATGTGTTCTCATTGTTCAACACCCACTTATGAGTAAGAACACGTGGTGTTTGCTTTTCTGTTCTTGTGTCAGCTTGTTGAGAATTATGGTTTCCAGTTTCATCCATGTCTCTGCAAAGGACATGAACTCAACCTTTTTTATGGCTGCATAGTATTCCATGGTGTATATGTGTCACATTTTCTTTATCCGGTCTATCATTGATGGACATTTGGGTTGGTTCCAAGTCTTTGCTATCGTAAACAGTGCTGCAATAAACACACGTGCTGACACAGGTAACTTTCATAAACTTCACCTACAACACACATTTGTTTTGTATAGTTTAAAACAAAAACGACAACAGCCCTTTCCCAAAACAAACCTCCTTCTTGCCTGGGGACTAGACTGCCTTTGTAGGACTAACAAATTAGCCACAAGATTAGAAATTATGGTTTAAGTGTCATGCAGTTGGAGGCTACAAAATTCTGACCCTCCCTGAACTGCTCCTAACATCAGTGTCTGAGATATGCTGTGGATCCGGCATTTGGGTCAGCTGGCACCACCCAGACTGATCAACTGGGTCATCTGATCTCGTGACCGCCCCCCACCAGCCCACTGAGGAGCTGACTCAGCACAAAAGGACAGCTTCAACTTCCCATGATGTCATCGCCTACCTTACCAATCAGCACTCATGCTACATCAGCTAATACTAAAATCAGATATACAATTTGAATGAACTCCATGGTCTAAGTCAAATTACCTATGACAACCCATCAGTTTTCAGTACTATGCAATTAATTTGAAGAAAGACTGGGATTCAAGAGGATATAAGTCTAATGTTAACTAGGCATGGACTCATGAAGAACCAGGATGGCTACCTTGTCCTTCCTAAGTCCTTAAAGCTTTTATCCTTACAAATTCTGAATTCCATAACTCATCATGGAAATGAAAAATATTAAATGGAATATATTGGTGTGGTGACATAAATTGCTAAAAGAGTTTATAACCAATGTTTGGCCCCATGTTCCTGAGAAAACAATCAAAGTTTCAGGTACTCCTGGTCACCTGGTGCTCCATTTAAACATTTTAAAATGAGATTTCATTCCATTGTTATTTTCAATGCATGTTTTCTCACTCTGGCTGTATAAAAGTTCTCCCATGCAAGGGGGCCCATGTTACCACATAAGTTATTATGTCACAGTGTATTTTCACCAGGTAAAGAAAGTTTTCTACGGTTCACTAAATATAATCAACTTTTGTACAATCTAGAACGTATGGATTGGAACTCCTAAGAACATCAGAGAAAGACTGCCCTTGCCATCTGGATTGCAGCAAAATGTTGGAACCCTGAATTTGGGTTCATAGTATGACAACTGTGAAGGGCCCCTCCACACACTTGGAAATGTACACCC